GAAATCAGGGAAAACTGCTGATCAGAGCAGCCGGCCGCTAGAATTCTCCTCCAAACAGCGACTAAATTTGACTTCGTTGTTAAGCAAGTGTCGAAAATCCTGCCACCGACGGGACTCGAATCTAAGACCCCCGATCAGATGGACTGCAATGACATCAATTGATGCCCTGAGCCATCTCTATCGGTAATTTTCTCGACACCACGTATATGATTCCGCATATACGGAGGAATACGAGAACGTAATAAGAAAAGATGCGAGTCACCTGTTTTCAACCCTAGACCTCACAAAAAAGTTTCAAGTCTCTAAAACATAGTGATATGTGCCTGTGCGATTGAAGGTGGAAAGACTCGACTCTAGATTACAGGAGGCTCATTTCTGCACGCCGCAGCGGAGGGCAGAGCGAGGCATTCGCGCTGGACGTGGCGTTGCCACAAACGGGCCCCGACTCCGCCACCATCTCGGGCCCCGCCGGCGTCGCCTGGCGCGCCTTCGTGGAGAGCCTCAAGGCGCGCGGCCGTGTTTCGCCATAAGAGGTGGCGTGCGGGCGCCGCATCGCCTACACAGCCGCTACATCGCGCCCGCGGGGCAGCTGCTCCTGGCGCTCCTCAAGGAGGTAGGCGGCCAGCGTGCGTGCGGAGAAAGAGAGAGAGAGAGGCGAGCCGACAACGTGTGTATGTTGGCAGGTTCGCATCCCGAGAGCGCGTCGCGCCCAGCGCGACGCTGGCTCTCATCGTCGGTGGGCGGGGCCGCGTTAGTGGGGCTGCAGCAGGCGCAGCTAGTGCTCGCGCGGTCCAGCACAACAAGCCTCTCCGGCCGGTATGCAGTTGAAGCCCCTCAGCTCACCGCGTGCCGGAGTACGACCGTCGCCATCGAGATTCGCCGCCGCCCGGCCTGCCTTGCAGGCCATCCTCAAGCGCGCGCTGCCTCATGTGCTCAACGTTGCCGCTGGCTCAAGGGGCGCTTGATCTCTCCGACGTCCTTCTCAACGCACATCGCGGTAGAAAACTTTTAAGAGTCGTGACGATGAACATAAAGTCTAATTTTATACACGGATCTGTGGATGAAGCAAAAAAATACAATTCGCGTTAAGAGTCTCAGCAGCAGCGAGATCCTAACCATTAGAGACCTTCAAAAACAACAAAATTCGGTTTTTTGGAATTCGCTTCTGTTAAGACATTTAGGTTCCCATATTCTATTAATTTATAATATTCTAAATAACCATTGTCTTCTCCCTATTCCCCAGCAAGTCTGTCGGCGACTAGGGGGTCTTCAAATCCAATATACTTTTAATGACACCGCCAACAGAAAAATTTCAGTTTTGGAAATATACTTACTCATGTAGAGGTCCGGCGAGGCATGTGTATTCAGATGTCCAATGTGTACATTACAATCTACAATGGTGGTAGATAAACGCGAAATTAAAGTTTGAATAAACAAATAAGAAAAGAGTGTGCTCTTACTTGATAATAGCCACATATTCTTAAGTCGCATCGGAAAATAGCACTGCGGGCAACCTCTTTTGAGGTAAGTCGAGAACAAAATGCGAAGCGACTAATACATTGTAGGGGTGCATTAGTATATGTCCTGTGAGAAATGCACTTAGACATGGCACCAAGATTGTATGAGATACGATGATTAGTGGAAACATGGAGATTCGGTTGGAGGTAAGGGGCAGAACCCGGAGGCCGATCAGACCCGTCTGTTGCGTTACAGCTAAGTCCACATGAGCGGTAAATCGATAATTTATAATAGCAAGTGGCAGCTACACGGAGAGACGTTTTCTAACCTTGCTTGTATCAGAATTGTGTCAGGGAATCGTGCATTGCGTAGGCTTGACAAACCGACGTGCTCAGCAGTCCACGGGACGCTGTACCCGCCTCGCAGTGCCGCACGCCGAGGCAGCCCATGACTCCCCCCTGGTCGCTAGGTCCACGAAGGACGACTCGTAGTTGCCAGCTTTCGCACGGAGAAGAAGGCCACAGCGCGGAAATCACTATATCTTGAAGGCCCAATAGACTGACAGAGAGACAGTTCATGGAGCGCCACATTATGACGGACGGCCGCTTCTTCGAACTGCGGTATCTGTAGCAAATCGATTTTTCGGTGTTTAAATTTTTCGTATCTAAGGTTTGAAGCGAATCACAATCACTTCGCCTTTGCCGCAACTCGCCCGGCGGGAGTGTTCAGTTCCCAAGTTACGCATCCTCACTGTTGCGCGACCAGCCC